AGGTAGAACAAAAGCTGATCATTGAAAGTCATCTGAAGAGAAAGATTTTTGCATGAGATGCCTCTGACTTTAATGCATTCTATACATATCTTATGTTATATAGTGACTATGTAAGTAAGATAGTGCTTGACTTGTAATTTTATTTTAAGTATGTTCATTGTAATTTTATGTTGTTGTAACTAATAAAAATATCTTTTTGTTTCTGCAAAAAAAAGAAAAAACACCTGTATTAACAGACTTTCTATAGTAGCTTTCTTCTTTTAAGTGTAAACAGTAATTCCATATGACATGTATGATTATAAAGAAGGCCAAGTCATTTCTGATTCATAAGAAAAATTGGAACTCTCCCTCTTTTCTTCCAAGTTTAAGAGATTTAAACTTCCAATGTGCAGTTTGAGACTTGCACTATTTATGCACACTTTTTTTCAGAGCAAATGTCCCCTCATACAGAATTCACCACTTAGCACTGCAAAACACTCCAAAATAGCTTAATTTCCTCTAAGTATTGTGCTCAGCAATCCCTTAGCAACTGCTATAAATCTGTAGTTACAGTAAGAAGGACCCCCTTTAAGTTAATAGTACATGTTCATCTTGAAATAGCTGTTTGACTACCAAATTTGTATATCTTATTCAGATGCTCATTACATTGCTGATTATTTAAAACTCAATTAAAGAATTTATTGTAATTTAATCGTTAGTTACCGGTAATTGAATTTCTTTCAATGGTGGTCTATTTCAGAGAAAGCAACCCAGGAAAAAAGTTGCACGTGAATATGTCCCAGCTTACAGATCAGGGCCATATGCACTGATGTTGACACTGTACCAGCAAAGTCAGGTTAGAATCAGTGGAATTTCTAGGGTAGCAGAACTGCCCTTTTTATTAGTACATGAAATAATTAAATGTAACTTTCTGCAGTTTGTTGCACTGGGGATTGGATGTATTTACCACTTGATTGGTAGGTAGGTCAAGTCTGCAAACAAGCCAAGTGGCTCATCAGGCCAGAGCTTGTCCCAGTTTCTGTAGCATGAAGCGACTAGGAGTTTTTCTACTCTCCCCTGAATGGGATGCTAGTCCATCGCAGGGCTACCCCTCAACATTGAATTTGCCGGTACCCATTTACACACCTGGCTGGAGAGAGGTACTGTGAGAGATAAGTGTCGTGGCCAAGAACAGAACATAATGTCCCTGACCAGGGCTTGAACCCAGACCGCTTGATGTGGAGACGAGCGCACTAACCACGAGACCACTGGTCACACCTCCCATACTACTTGACTGAGTCAGATTTATCTATCTTGTAGGTCTGGTGGGATTCCAACTTCACTCAAAGACATTTGGGATGTTCATCAGTGTTTGCATGGGTTATGTCACATACAAGTCATTCAAAAATAAACAATTAAAACAGTAAATCGTACCTTCGTGAACATTGTAAGGAACATAGTCTGTTCACTGGGTATCTGCCAACAGTGTGCACATTCTAAGTTTGCTCCTGATTCAATGTTTTTTCTTTGTAGAGGATCAACTATCGAGGATACATGACAAGAGCTGAGCTGCAAAAGGAAGCACAGCCACTTTGTGATGTATCATTCACAATGGTAATGACTGATTCTAAGGTTATTTGTAGCTTTTATCAAATTGAAATACATTGTAAAGAGAGCAGAATCAAACAAGTTGTTTTATTCTCATGGAAGTATGCACTGGCAGAAGAGACCAGAAATGACATGCATTAACAGAATGGAGTGCTCAAAAATTGGCATCTGAAATACATGTAGTCTGGGGGTGTGTGGGGAAAAGACTGGCTGAACATCTTGCAGCAGCTGTGAAATAATAGCAGTTTGGAAATCAGTCGACGAAATGCTCATGAACTAAGGTACACAATTGTTGTTTGGCATCTGGAACTATCTTTATATCTTCTCCTAGTATTTGGTCTGCTTGATAACTTATCTATGTTCAAGAAAAGGATATAAAAGATCATTAGTTCAAAAGGAGGAGCACCTGCATTATAGATCTTTAAGGCTGTTTTGTTTTGTATTATTTCTTTCTTTTGTAGCGTCTATTTACACTACATTCCTTCTATTCTATAGGAATACCAAATGTTCTAGTACACAACTTATTTAGTGTGTGTTGTGTTGTATGTGTGTGTATGTGGCTACCTACTTAAACTTGTATTAACGCATCTGTAGACCTGGCTGCCTGCCCTTTTTTAACTCTCTTGTTATTTCAAGAAGCCAGACCCCTAACTCTATTAATATATAACTTTGTAAAATATTTCTATTGTTGTTGTTCTGTTGCAAAACAGAGATATCTACAGAGCTTGTTGAGGGGACTGTCTTGGGGTTAGGTGTGTGTTGCTCTTCTGAAATATCCCAGCAGACATTCAATCAAAAAATAAGTGGCTAGTCATCACCCTCAACATCCCATGAATGTACTTGTACTTTATTGTGAATATAATCGTTGGATGTTGTCCTTCAGTAGTATTTTAAATAAAACTGACAAAAGTTCAATTGAGGCCTTAAACTACTGTAAAATTGATGTGAAAATCTTTTTAAAAAATCTTTTAAAAATCCAAGCTTTCATGGATCCACGGATCCACAGCATCATCAATTGAACTTTTGTCAGTTTTACTTTATTGTGCTGTTTGTTTTGAAGTTTAAGCTCAACCAGTCACATTAATGTACTCACTCTAAGTTGTATCACATTGATCAAACTGGATTTTCCATCTCTTGAGTTGCCAGTGATTGCAATGTTCACTTTGATGTCTCCATCTTTCCAATTTCATCTGAGAAAATTCCTCAATACCAATTTGTAAAAGACAGTTCTGATCCACACTTTTTTTATATAGCACAGACATTAAAAAGCAAAAGAAAAAATAATGTTAAAATTAAAGTTCTCTATTTACCTGTCCACACTAAGACAATAAAGCTTCATATTACAACCTCTCTTTAGGGGTGGTTTTTAAAAGATTTCAATTTGATGGAATCAATATGTTTTCCATTCAGAGTTTCCAAAATCAATGCTTTTTGAAATGTGGATGGACCATAGTTTTTTTGACAAACGGTTTGAAAGCCCTGTATACTGTGTTTTTTTGGAGAGAGGAAGGGACCGAAAACAGATCACTTGTGACTTGTATAATGAGTGCAAGAAGATGAAAGGTTACTAAGTTGAAACACAAAGGCAATCAATATTTTCATAGCTTGCATTGGTGATGCCTTGTCTCTTTCAGAGTGTGAGATAATGCTTTCACTTACCAATGTCTCCTTGGAAAAAAAATTTGTACAATTATTTCTCCTTTCATGATTCTAATTTTGAAACAAGCCACAATGACTTCTATTTCATCTGGCTATGACATTGTGAAACATATCCACGGAACAAAAGTGTTTGAACCCGTCAAGAGAACTTACTTGTATCTGTAACACTCAATCCGGGCGAATGTACCACAGATCAAGCTTTTGTGTTGCGTTGACAGTCGCGGGCAAGATTTATTTCTGTGCTTGGCGGGGAGTGGTGAGTCACACAAGAGGCTTCTTGTGTGAGTCACACAAGACAGCAGAATAAAAATATAGGAAGTTGAAGGGAGTTAAATCTCATTGGTCCTTTCAAAGGCTCTCGTAGTTTTCTTGTCGCCTACAGAGATTGCTACCCATTTGCTGGATAGGGGGTAAAACACGGGGTAGGCCATGACTTAGGCTATGAGGTAGACCTTGGCCAACTGGTGTCAAAGGACAAAAATGAAATAAGTAAAACAGGCGAATATGGATCCAGAAGATCCATACGCAGAACGGATACTTTGAAATCTACGGGGTTTGATTTCGAAATTCGAATAAACATGTATCTCACAAGCGATGTTTGAGGCAAAATTGTTTGTAAGGAAATGTATACACCTCGCGTATGACTGGAATTATTTTGAATGTTATTCAATGTAGAAGTAGATGGGTCTAGATAGCTACAAGCTGATTCCGGATGAGTAGGGCTAATCTGGAGAACTGCAGACCACGGAACCGAAGAACCGTGGAACCTATATTTCCCATATAACAGGCCACAATATTATCAGAAATTTACTTTGCATCTCTAAGTTTCTAACAAGCCGTAACAATCACTAATGGGACGCCACTATCTAGAAACAATACGTAACAATAATGACTTAACATACTTGTTTGTTGTTGTCCTCAGAGAACTGCTATCTTTGAGATTTCCTTTACTCATATATGTTATTGAACTAGCGTGAGTTAATATCCGTCGAGCTAATTTTTGTGCAGATTAATGGACCGAACTGCAGGCGAGGTTTATAAACTTGCAAAAAATGAACGAGGCCGAACAAGCTAGTTTAACAAAGAATTTATTATAATTGCTCTTTTACAATAATTGTTCTGCTCATAAATTACGGTATCAATTCTCGGTGCGCGCGCGCCAAAGTTAAGCATATATTTGCATTTTTCAGGCCGCTTTCGAGAAAGTTTAACTGAAATCATCCTCCAGAGATAAAGAAAAAATACATTTCTACTTAAGGAGAAACTGTTTTCTTTTGTGTAATGTTTTGGGAAAGTAACTCGCCGAAACTATTTCTGAGTGGACCATCTTTACTGGCGGGTACGTATTGCAAAACTCGGACCGCTCAGGGAACCACTTAAAATTGTCCTTTTCATCATGGACCAATTTGCCATAAAATAACAAAGTAATATTAATTTGTATATCACACAAAATGACATAATATATTATAACAGTACCTTGATCAATGTTCAGTACGTTTAACTCAATATTTACTTCTCTCAGTTCCCTGGCAAGTGTGGAGAAAACTGTATCTTGCTTGGAATTATGTATAGAGACTTTCATGTTAACTGTCTTATTTTAATTTGAAGCCTGACCCAGGAAGTCATTACACAGCTTGGTCGTCTATGTCAACTCTGACCAGGAAAGGCTTTATTATCAAGACAAACAATCCAGCCAGGTAAATCTTAGCAGCTAAGGCATTTCCACTGACGTGTTTTATTAATACTAGACCGTTTGATATTTACTCTTATGGCCTGTCAACGTATGTAGGTGCCTGGACTTAAACTACTTTATAACTGATGAGAAAAAGAGTTTTTGTTAAAAGGAACTATACATATAATTTCAGAATATTTTGTAATCTTAATGTTTCTAATACCTTAGTAATGATGGAAAGCTACTGTTATCATTGCAGTTTATAACAACTGGTCAGGTTATGAGCAAATTATCAACTACACGTTCAGATATCATCTTGATGTATCTCTCAATTCTCAAAACCAACTTTTAAAAGTGAAATCCATGTCATTCAGTGAGGAGAATGACTATTTTAAAGTGAGGGACTGAGAAAGTAAATCTAACCGACAAAAAGACAAGGTTGGGCTGCAGAAAGAGACTTCAACGTATTCAGCTTCTTTGCACTAAAGAGAGATAACAAGAAACAGAGAAAATAAATGTTTCTGGTTTTGGAATTATTAATTTAATGCCAGTCTGAAGGACTTTTTATTGGTCTTGCATCTTCAGCCAACTAAAAAACTCCATTGTAGTGACTTCTAAGGACTACTGAACACGCCTTTCTTTACGTGCTGGCTATGTCTCTGAAGCTGTGAAGCCATGGAATGAGGTCAATTGGTTTCCTTTTTGCTGTTTGTAGATATTCCATAACAGATGAGGGCCGTAAATTAGCTGAGAAGCTGGAGACTGTAACAGGAGACAGTTTGTCACCAGGCTCAACAGGCACTGCTGCACCCATCCCCAGTGGCTCAGTTAAATCTCCATCACATGCCTCAATTGATTTAACATCTGATAGGAACTTGGACAGTAATTATTTATCTGCTGCAGATGTATCCAGGGATTTTAAACCTTGTTTCGAAAAAGTCTCAAGTAGCCATGACAGATTTACAAGAATAACAGAAAGAGAAAAGGAATGTAAACCTGCAAGGTGTGGACTTGGGAGAACCTATTTTGCAAGTGGAATTAATTACTTGCCTTTGCCATGCAATTGTTGCAAAGTTTGCTAGGAAATTGTATTTTATTGCTTCATCGCAAGTTATTATTAAGAAAAAGAAAACATGCACCCTGTTTCTATCGAATTTTAGTATCACCCAACTAGTGGAC